ATATGTAGGTGCCACCATGGTGTTATCTCGGTTTCCAGATTCCACATAGCAATCTCGCTGACTGTCTTGAACACAAAACTCAGAGGTTTGATGCGGGAGCTACCGTTACAGTCTGAAACTCACCCTCCCTGGTACCTTGGCAGGTCTCTTGTGTTTGAGCACCCAATTCCAATGTGAGTGTGTGTGCATGTGTGTGTGTGTGTGTGTGTGTCCACACCAAGCAATGCTCAGACACCATTGGGGTGGTAGAGAATTCAGCTCAATTCTGACACCATCTATCCCGGATAGCATCAGCTTCCACAGGCTAAGTGCTCCATCCCACCCCCCTATCAGATGCTAATTCCAAGGCCAGGCTTGTACTTCTGACCAATGGGCTACCTCCAGCCCAGGATGCCAACCGTACATCCAGGTTGTCACCCACACTCCTGACGGACTGCTCTCTATTGAGGTTCCCAAGATCCCCCTTGGATTCAGTTAATGTACCAATTGGAGATTGGCTCACAGAACCAGAGAAACACGTTATGAGGCCACTGGCTTATTGTAAAAGGATGTGACTCGGGAACAGCCAGATGGAAGAGAAACATGAGGCAAGGCATAGGGCAGGGCGCAGTCCTTCTATGTCTCTCCCATGCTCTGTGTTCCCGTGTCTCCGTGTACTCACCAGCCAGAAGCTCTCTGAACCCCATCTTTTTAGGGACTTCGTTACATAGGCAACTGATTCAACCTCCAGGCCCTCTTCCCTCCCCAGAGGTCAGAGATAGATTCTAGACCCAATCTAACACATGCTCGGTTCCACTGGCAACCAGCCCCCATCCTTGGAGGAGTTCCAAAAGTCATCATTAACATAGCAACAGACACCTTTATCATTCTCACTACTAGGAAATTCCATGGGTTTGGAGTGCTCTGTGCCAGAAAAGGGAGGAAGACCAAATAAATATTTCTTATAAATTGCAACACGGCAGGTCTTTAAAAAGATAAGGTACACATCTATTTTGGATACTTCAGCAATAAGTTTTTTCTTTCTCAAAATGTATGGATAATATATTCAGCCATTAAACAGGCCTGTTCCCGTTTTGGCATGTTCTTTTAAAATATCATTTATATCACTAGGACAATTACACACAGAAAAAGTGGCTGTGTTCATTTATTGCTTTAGTTACCCGCATTCTGTTCCTCTTAGCAAAAGACACTCTTCACCCAGCTTCTAAACTCAAGAGCTCCCCATGACAGTCAAGCTTAGACTATCAGCTGCCCATCCTTACATTCCATTGAAGAGAGCCAATGAAATCAAAACATGTTTAATACTTACAATAGGCAATGGCTTGCTATAAATTCTACAGATGGAAGAAAGCATAAAATCCTGTCAGTAGAGTTTATAAGTTGGCTATGGATGTACTCTCAAATTCTCATTGCTGTAGGCCTGATGGTCAAGTTCTTCCCACCCCAAAGGAGCTTACCTGACAGCCCATCTTGGGTCACGACTTTTGCATTTGACTATTGTTTGCATTGTTGTTGTTAATCCTCACCCGATGATATTTTTTTTCACATTGATTTTTAGACAGAGTGAAGGGAGGGTAGAGATACAGAGAAACATTGGTGTGAGAGAAACACAGAGATTGGGTGCCTCTCACACAGGCCTGGACTAGGGTTGGGGACAGAGCCTGCAACCGAGGTACGTGCCTGGAATCAAACCCAGGAACCTTCAGTTTGCAGGTCAACACACTACCCACTGAGCCAAACTGGCCAGGGCCAACTGCTATTCTTAATTGCCCTTAACTAGGCCTCGCTGCACCTGCTCCATCCTCAGTCATCTGTCACATTCACATCACTGTTGGGGAATTTAGGGTGCTCTTTTCAAATCAAGACCTAACTCATCGTTTTTAATATTCGTTTCTCTTGGCACTGGTTTTCTTCAGTCAGTCAAAAAACACAAGCCAGGGAGCAGGAAGTAGTGGAAACACTGCTCTTTCAGAAGCTGCTGATAGTGCACAGCGATTGGTATCGCTGCCAGGAGGCATCTATTGAAAAGCCAGCTTCTCTAATATTTACATTTTCTGAAGATTCCCTGCATTACATCCTCCTCACATCCTCGTCGGCACAACGGCCACAGCGGCTCCACCGGCCAGGTCTTGGATGGCAGGCGACCTGACACCAATGCAGCGCTTGCCACCTCCCTTCTCCCCCACAGAAGGGACTTCATAAACGTGTCTTCCTCTCCACCTGCCTTTGGACACCGCTCGCCGGGAAGTCGGCATTTGAAAACGTTGGGACTGTATCTCAGAACATGCCGCATCTCAGAGCATGCCGTCCATTCACTCCTGCTGCACCACAGCCGACCACTGTGATGCTCTTCTTGCTAAATGGGCTGAAATTTAATATTGCAAATTAGTCCAATCTAATCATTTCACTAATGAAGGTCAAACTACTCAGACTGTAATTTCCTTTAGGGGAACATTAATTTCTGGTCAATAAAATGTGAGTGTGTTTGCTTAATGAATAGTTCTTCCCAATATACTTTAGTCTTACATGGAGTGTCGGTTGTAGGCAAATCCAGATAAATGCCATGTTGTTGTTTTTTAAATATATTTTTATTGATTTCAGAGAGGAAGGAAGAGGGGGAGAGAGATAGAAACACCAGTGATGAGAGAGAATCATTGGTTGGCTGCTTCCTGCATGACCCCCACTGGGGATTGAGTTTGCAACCCTGGCATGGGCCCTTGACTGGGATTGAACCTGGGGCCCTTGAGTCCACAGGCTGTGGCTCTATCCATCGAGCCAAACCAGCGAGGGCCAGATCAATGCCATGCTTTGAGAAGACAAATCTCAGAGGCCTTGGGCAGTGGGAAAGGAGTGAATGGACCCAGAAGGTTGCGCCTCACCCTCTAGGGGGGCCTGTCTTGGAGAGGGGGGGAGGGTGCTCTCTCTACCGGACCTGCTTCCCTTGTTGTCTGGGTCCTGAGCTGAGAGCTGAGTGTTGGTCATGGAGGGTCAGTGTCTGTGAACAGGGCATTGGTCACAGGGCAGAAAACATGGCCCTTTGAGAAAGGTTTTGCTGTGTGTGTGTGTGTGTGTGTGTGTGCTGTGTGTGTGTGTGTGTGTGTGTGTGTGTGTGTGAAAACAAGCCCGGTGTCACGTGGCTCTTGCTCGCTAGTCAAGCATACTAATGGGAGCACTTCATGCTGAGGGGGATCCGGCTAACTCACAGGTGCTGTCCCTTTTCCTCCTCCTCAGTGGACACAATGAAGTGTCCCAAGCAAAAGGTGAAACAATACCCCACATTCGGACGCTGCAAACCTGCCGAGGAGGAGACAGAGTCACCATTTCTCAATCTTCCTACCACGCTGGTCTGCAAATTTCTCGAGACAGTCCCGCTGTCCCGCTGACATCATGTCCCAGAGCGCTGGAGACAGAGGCTGCTAAGACAACGTGGTCCTTGGTTTTAGAAATCTTTAATCGCTGGGGAGACTAAGGTGTGGCCACTACTTTGCTGTTTCTCTTACAAGGAAGCCCGTCTACCCCACAAAACGACTGGACAGTTGACGACTATGAGGAGCAGACCAGTCCAAAGCTGGTTTGACAGCTTGACTGATGGGTCCGACAGATGATGAGACACTCCCTCCCCCCAATTCTGTGGGAACAGGCATTGTCCATGCCTTACGAATACATTGTTTGGAAATGGAAAAAAAAATCATTGGGGCACAAAAGGAGCAAGGAAGCAGACATGGTAACACCTAGAAAAATATGATGTCATCTAGATCTCAATTTAACTTTTGCCTAAAAACATGAGATATATCATTGGGAAGTACCATCCCAGTGCCACAGCCATTTCCTAAGGCCGGCCTAGGTTTCTGGAGAGACTATGCTTTCTACAGGAGGGGAAAAACCCCACAAAAATAAAGACAAAATAAAACCTAAAGTTCACTAATATTTCCTGTGGCTCAGAGTTCCAGTAAGAAGTATGTCACGCCCTCGCCGGTGTGGGTTAGTTGGTTGGTGTCGTTCTGTGCACCAAAAATTCACCGGTTCGATTCCTGTTAAGGGCACATGCCAGGTTGTGGGGTCGATCCCCAGTGGGGGCCCGTGCAGGAGGCAGCTGACCAGTTTTGCTCTTATCTTGATGTCTCTCTTCTCTTCCTCTCTCTCTAAAAAAAAATCACACACAGAAAAGCTGTCACAGGACAATTGTGGTCTGTCTCACTGAGTCTCCATCTTCAAATCTCAAGTCAATTCAAAAGCATTTTCTCTTAAATAAACAGTGTCTTATACAGTGGAAAGCAAAATCCATGGGAAATGGTAAGACACAAATCAGAGAAACACATTTTGTTGCACCTGCTAATCTGAGCCTGCCCAGAGCCCGAGAGCCAAAGGGAGTCGGCTGCAGTGCTACGACCTGGTTCTGACCCGCCGGCTGGGAGGCGGCAGGGAGGAAGACATGAGTGGGCGGGAGCCCACGCTGCTCTGGAGCTGCAGGCGCAGGTGAGAGACTCAAGAATGGAGATCTGAGGGAGAGGCAGGTGGAGGCACAGGAGAGGCGGGCGGAGGCGCAGCAGCTGTCTCACACTAAGACTGGAGCAATTAAGACACAAGAGCTTCACAGCCTGCTCTCTGGAGGAAACCATGGCCCACTATCTCTCTGGAGAGCTCACAGCTGCCAAAGGCGAAGCCCCTTGCAGGAGAAGGCAGCCTTCACCCTCGGTCCCTTGGTCCCTCCACAGGGAGGTCTCCCTCTAGCAGCATCCAAAAAGGACATTTCCGGTAGATTATATATATATATATATGAGGCTCAGTGCACAAAATTCGTGCATGGAGGGGGTCCTTCACCCAGCCTGCACCCTGTCCAGTCCGGGACCCTTCGGGGGATGCCCAACTGCTGGTTTAGGCCTAATCCCACAGGCCTGATCACCCCTAACGACTCTCTCCTGCTGGCCTGATCGCCCCTAACCACTCTGCCTTGGCCCCCACCACAGTGGCTTTGTTGGGAAGGACATCTGGAAGACATCCGGTCTATCCAGTCTAATTAGCATATTACCCTTTTATTTAGTGTGTGTGTGTGTGTGTGTGTGTGTGTGTATATATATATATATATATATATATATATACACACACACATACATATGAAAGCACTCAAATTAACTATACTGTGAGAACTCCTCAAAAACTTTTTTTTTTTCTTCTTCTTTTGACCAGCACACTGCCTGGTACATACTGCCGGGCAGGCATTCAAAATATTTTAAAAATAGGCAATTGCTAATACTGGGAGAATGTCACTTTAATGTTTCAGAAAACTTATCATTCTTGGAAAGGGCTTGCTCTTTTACGACTTTGGAAAACAGAGGTTTTGTCCTAACTCTTGTAAGCCTCCGGGGATGGGCAGTGTAACACCTTAGATGAACACAGAAGTGCTTTGGAAGGTGGTTAAAAACGCTCAAGAAATTCAAAGTTGTCCTAACTGCAGGGAAGACGGTGGCCTCCGCAGCCCAGGGCCGATTCGCAGCGCTGCGCGACACGGGACATGTCTTCTGTGGCTCTCCCTGGCTGGACCCTCAGGACAGCCCCCTGCCGATCCCTGCAGGCCGCCTGGCGGGACCAGGCCAGGGGAGGCCCTCCCAACAGGGCCTCTGACCTCGTCCCAGATGTCGAGGTAACAGAACCAGAACCAGGTATCAGGGCTCTCCTCAAAGGCCGACTCCCCTCTCCCTCCACTGACCTGGCACATTCCCTGTGCGCTACACGTGGGCAGCGTTCTTAAACGATAGTAAAACGTCATTACACCCAGTTCTCTTCAAAAAGTCTTTCCAATTCAATTCCCAAAATTAACTTACAAAATTTTGTGCAAAAACACCAACCTCAAATAAATACAGGAGGGGAAGGAGGGGGTAGCGGGAGGGAGAGGAGTGGGAAGAGCGAAACTGGTTTTTGTCTTTTAAATTAAAAGTTAAAAACACCAGCTGCATCTCAAAGTATTTGTAGGGGAAACGCCTCAGGGCCAAGAAAAGCGGCCCTCGGAGTCCGAGGAGCATTCCCAGTGAGGTCGTCTGTGTTCAGAACTCGCAGTGGATGCCCCCGCTGAGGTCCTTCACCACGCCCGCCTTGGCCAGCCGCAGCAGCAGCTTGGTCTCCGTGGTCACGTTGTGCATGGTCTGGAAGTTCATGGCCTCCATGCAGAGGTTGTCGAAGTAATGCAGAGGTGTTCTGGGTTGGCTGAGGTCATAGCCAAAGCCGGCCAAGCTGACTTCGTCACACAGGTGTGTGGCCAGGACAACGGCAATGACACCGACGGTGGGGACGTTCTGAAAAAGAAAGAAGACCCAACCGTCTGAGCACACTTCGCTGCTCCCCACGTGGCACACATGCTGTGCCAGCAATAAAGGCCGCGATTTTAAACACCCACCGATGTACAGAACACAGCACAGGCCAAGGAAACCAGAAGGTCTGGGGTGGGACCCAGGCGTCACCTGAGAAGTGCTGCTCTGGAGCTGACTTTATTATCACCCCTACCGTGACCAGAAATGTCAATTCTCACCTCCGTGGCCCACAGTTAAAACGTAAATAACTTTCCCTACCACAGTGACTTCAACTGTCCTGCAGTTAGTTATTAATATCTGTGTATATAAAATAAAAGGCTAATATGATGAGTACTTGACCATCTGACTGGTCATTATGAGCGCACTGACCACCAGGGGGCAGACGCTCAACACAGGAGCTGCTGAGACGCAGTGACTTGGCAGCGGCCCTTCTCGGTTGATGCACCCTGAAACCAGAGAGGAGGGAGCCTGATTCCTTCAGGGCCATGCAGTTCCACCTTCGGCTGTGGGTTATGTTGTTGCTGGGGCTGTTGGCCTGAATCTGGTTTACTGCACACTGTGTTTGCCTTCCATACCCTGTACAACAGCAACTTAGCAGAGTGCCCTCTCACACTCCAGGACCCCTTGGGGGATGTGGGAGAGCGGGTTTTGGCCTGATCCCCACAGGTAAGGCCAAGGGACCCCACCCGCTGGAGGGGCCCCTGCTCACTCCCCAGACGCCCTTGGAGCCACGGTGCCACCCCAGGTGTGGCTGGCCAGGGAGGGACCGTGAGAAGTTGGCTCCAAGGCGTGTCTGGCCCATCTCGCCCAGTCCCACCCCGCTGGCCAGATTCTAACTATTGATAATTTCCTTTCAATGAGCACAAATCTGTGCACCAGGTCACTAGTCTAAAATAAGATCTCAGTGATCTAAGTGCTAATGTGCTGACTCTACTAAAGAGATGAGTCACCAGGGACGACCAATGAACACTGAGGAGCCCTGAGCAGTGAATAACAGATTCAGCTTCTCATCATGGCCTAGATTTCCCCACTGGAAGATGCATCTGTGGACACAGCTGAGCCTAAGTGAAATATGTACAGAGGTCACCCCTCAAATGCAGACAAGAATAGTTAAAAATAGCAACAACAACAAAAAAATACATACCTTATCTCGGCCCCAGAACCTGGACTGTGGCTCTGAATACTGAAGGATGTCAAAGGCAGTCTCTTTGATAATAACTGGATTCAAAATCCTGAAATGTTTTGGCTGTAATGGGATTTTTTCTGCCACCTGCTTCCAAAAGAAGAGTCGTACCCAAAATGGCTAAGGAAAGAAAGCAAGAGATCATTAGGGAGAGGTAACAGCCTTCCCTCACTGGAGGGGAGAATGCATCCCCGATAACCAGGCCAAGCGTGATTGTGACCCCTGGCGGGCATGCGTTCTACAGCAAAGTCACAGATCTCTGCAAAGTCTCTATCTTAACTCAAAAACTGACTCTAAAGGACCTGTTTTTTTGTGTGTGTTTTTTTGTTCAGTTTATTCTCATCAGTGTTACTGGTGTTCTCATGTTCACATTTCCCAGTGTGCTCCTCTCCTTGAAGTACTTAATGTGCAATCTCACTTACAGGTGAGCCCAGAGAAGGGCAGGCGTGGGCACTCCACGTGGACACAGCAGCCGGCCTGTCCTACGGGAACAGGGGCGGCCAGAGGCCTCCAGTCTTTTTTGTGTTGGTGATTCTCCATTCGCGCTTTCCTGGCTGCCCGGGAGGGAGTGGGAACCATGCAGCTCAGAGCAGGGCTGGGGGGATGGGAAGGAGAGGGGAGGGGAGAGGAAGGGAGGAAAAGCAGCAGGCCACCTGAAAGGGCAGGGTGGGTGGGCACAGGGGTGGCTCCCGGGGTAAGGCACAGCCCTATCTTTGGCTCTCCTGGTGAGGAATTCCACCCCCTGCCCTAGGACCTTGGCATTGGACAAGGAGAGAAACGACAGAACCAGCTCTTGTTTGCGGAGGTATAGCCTTTTTAGGATTGAAAGCCACCATTCTGCCCAGGGAAGATGAAGCCAACAGCGCCAATTCAAGGGTCTTAGTGCTGTGAGTGCCCGCTCTGCCAAGCCCTCACCCAGGGTCCTCTCTCCACTTACTCTGTTTCCTCGTCCTGTGAAGTCTCTTGGTAACTAACTCATTTCATATGTGCTTCATGTCCCAACTAGAACAACTTCTATTCAGTAGAAAGCCCGGAAGACCATGACAACCTGCAAGGAGTCAAGCTCCGGAGATACAGTCTCCACCACATGAAGCTTCTGTGAAAAGTCTATGTCCCATTACTTGTGTGGACGGTAGTTTGTGCACGTGACTATAAGGCACACACACTCCACGACAGCTGGCCTCTGAAGTTACTTTCATCATAACGGGTGGGACTACAAAGTATTTTATTGATGGCCGTAAAGACAAAGAACACGACCAGGTGAGGCCGTCTCCCCCACGTCTGCCCCTCTGGAATGCTGGGAAGTTACTCCCGTGAATTTACACCACCCTTCAGAGCAGCTTGGGAGACACTCCTTGAGAAGACTCCCCAGAGATGTATATCCTTTTGCATATTCCCAATAATGGTTTCCATTAACCCATGGAAACCTAATTTCTAGAAAAAGCCCCAAAGCTACAGAAGTTCCAGTCTAGTGAATCAATTGAGTCATCAACCTTGGTAACAACAATTTTTGTCCAAAGCTTGGTATTCCCATTAAGTAATGATCTTAATATCCAGCAAGGAGAGGTTCCCACAGAGGGAGTGGCTATTTAAAACACAACACGGGAGTATGCATTCCACCGTGGCTGCTTCAAAGTAAAAGTCTGCAGTCACAGTTAGAGACCCCAGTGCGCTCGCAGGCTGGGTCCCCAGGCTTACCAGGGTTTCGTTTTGCACCATCGCGTGGAGCCAGTTGAAGTCCACACTCTTAAATAAAACAGCGACAAACAAGTCAGTGGAATAATATTCCAAGTCAGACAGCGGGGCGCCCTCTGGGTAAGTCATCCTAATGGTTGTTTTATTTCCAACGTGCTCTGAGTATCCCTCAACGGGCGCGCTGTTTAACCTATATCATACAAGGACAAGATAAACAGACAAAGCAGGCCATTAGCCACCGTATCACACCACCAGAGAATTCCCTCCTCGCGGACCCCGCACTTTTTTGGGACCGGGCCTGGGTAGTGGTTGGGGCCGGGGTGTCCCTCCCAGCAGCCTCCCTGCCCCCACGCCTCCACCCTTTCCAGGTGCCGGACGCATGCAGCCCTCCTCGCCCTGCGAGATGCCCTGTGAGGGGTGCCCCGAGCTCATCTCTGAATGTCAAGCAATTCGCTCTCGTCCTGCCATATTCAGGCAATCCAAACATGTTATATTTGGGGCTTTTTCTGGGCAGTCTCCCATTGGGCTCAGATACGTGGCTCTTGCCAGAATTTCAGAAAGGTAATCAGAGAGGAAAACCTAGAAACCAGGACCTGGCAGACACAGAGAGGGTTATACGCGGACAGGGTCGAACGGGGTGGGGGTGGGGTTGGGGGCAATGGGCCCAGGTACAGCCTGGTCTTAAAGCAAGGATTGGAGACACGTACAACTGTCAGAGCAGTGAAGGCTTTACAAGGGCGGTGGTTTGGGAGAGAAGTCTAAGAATTCTTCCCAAAGCAATACCACTGCTCACACTGTCACACGGTTTTGTTGTGTGTTTGGTACTTCACACGTACTACGTCACCTGTATCTGACCTTCCTTCTCTATCCCACTTTCTCTCCTAAATCTCAGACACCTACCCCTGCATTATTAAAGGACTAGAGGCCCCAAGCACAAAATTCGTGCAAGGGGCTCGGCCCTCACAGCCCCGACTTCGTCAAGAAAGTCGTCTGGAAGGACGTCCAGAAGGTCGTTCGGTTATCTGGTCTAATTAGCATTTTATACTTTTGTTATTATAGATAATATTAGACATGACAACAAGTGTAAGACATGATCCTAGACCAGCTATTTTTTCCTTCCTCCCACCCCCTTTCCTTTTCTTTTTTCAAATAAAGGACATTAGGAAATCTGGTGAAATGTGAATCAAGACTGTAGATAAGGTGTGCTATATCAGTGCTGACTTCCTAATTCTGACTACTGCTCTGTGCTTCTTGCCCTACGAGGTGCCCCAAGCTCATCTCTGAATGCCAAGCAATCCTCTCTCGTCCTGTCATATTCAGGCAATCCAAACATGTTATATTTGGAGCTTTTCCTGGGCAGTGATGTTTCCTTGAAAGTCTCCCATTGGGCTCAGACACCAGTGGCTCGGTATCTTCAAAAAGGTAATCAGAGAGGAAAACCTTGCTTGCAGCCTCCAATCCCGGCTCCTGTCCTATTGTCTCCTGCCTTCAGTCAAATCCACATCCTACTCTTGACAAGTTTAATTAAGACCCAGCTTCCACCAGGCTCCTGGTTTTGCACATCCTTAAGATCGAGACAGTTCACTAAAGGGTGTCAGGAGCCTTAAAAACCATTCAAATATCACCAACCCAACAACTACAGGAATTCTTTGCATTATTTCCAAGGAAATAGTCAGAGATGTACATAAAGACAAACACGAGAATGTGCAAAGCGTTTTCACAATAACAAGGAAACTGGAGACATTCTAAGTGTCCAACCATAGGAGGGTGCTAAGTAACGTATGATATGCTTGTTTAAAGGGACAGTAAACACTTGGTCAAGTTTGTTTCCCAAAGACACGGAACGACCCCAGAAACTATTCACCACACTATGTTAAAAAAGCAAAACACTTCAAAAGAATATAAACGCGCTCATCAGTACGTACGTAGAACCAAAGTGAAAAAAAAAAATACAGCAAATTAATAGTGGTTGGTTTTTGTGCCACAGTGGCATTTTCTTCCTTATATTTTCCTGTATTTTTAAATCTTCAAGAATAAACGTAATTTACTTTTATCATCAGAGAGCATCTTAACCAGCTACGCCAAGAAGGATCCAGGCTGGCTCCTTATGGCCTGTTGTGTGTGGTTTCCGCAGCCCAGCCAGCGGCCTGCAGGGCTCACCCACACCAGCCCAGCTCCCAGGCCAAGCACCCCACCCACTGAGTCTCCTGTCCTCCTGGCCTCGCCTGGCACAGCCTTCCTCCTTTGCTGGCTTATCTGAACCTCCCCATCCTCCTAAACCTCACCTCTTCTGGAAAGTGTTTTGCCAAACTGGGGTCAGTACCGCACAGTTGGGAGCATCTAATCACATCAGGTTTCTGTCTTGATTTCTTCAACAGTCAACCCCCCCGATGGCAGCAGGCGCGTGCAGGGGCCCGCAGTGGTGAGCTAGCTCTAGGGGAGGCAGGCTGGTACCTTATCACCATGTCGAACTGGTTGAGGGCCGGGCCCAGCTCTAGTCCGTGGAGTATCCCGCCGCTTCCGATGACCACGCAGCGCCTACAGCTCTTTGCTTTCAAGTGCTCAGGAAGGCCGTGCTCGGGCAAGAGCTCGAGGAGGCTCTGCACCTTCCCGGAGAACTGCCGGAACCCGAAGGGAGGGTCGTACTTGTACTCGGCCTCGCTCGCCCGGGGGCCCTTCTTCACGAAGGGCGGCAGGTCCGCGCTGTACCTGTGCTCAAACAGCCGCGCCATGGCCTTCCTGGCAAACCCGGGCCGGCACTCCCTCTGCAAGACTTGCTGCGCATACTTCTGAGCTCTCTGCAATGGAATCACACCGATCTGCGTTCACAGCATGGTCAGGCATCAGAAATACACACTCAGAGGTGACACTCCCCTTCTGATTGTTGTCTTTTAACACAGAACATCTGCTTTTAAGAGTTAATTTATGTGAGAAACTTGAAGGAAAAAACCCGGGAGGATCACCTGGTACGAGATAGACTTAACAAGAGTATCCTATCTAATAAAGAGAGAATATGCAAATTGACCATCACACCGTCACAAATTTGGCGGCGCCCAGTCCCCTGTCTTTTCAGCCCAGCCCAGGGTAGGGGGGTGGCAGGTGCATGGTGCAGCTGGACCCACCCTTAGCCCCCCAGCCGTTCAAGGTCACCTGAGGCTCAGGTAACTAGGGCCGGCCAAGGCTTGCGCTGCCGGCAGTGGCAGCAGCAGAGGTGTGATGGGGGTGTTGCCTTCCCCTGATCTCCGGGTCACCTCTCACCCCTGAGGGCTCCCAGATTGTGAGAGGGGGCAGGCCAGGCTGAGGGACCACCCCCTCCAGTGCATGAATTTTCATGCACTGGACCTCTAGTTTATTTCATAAATGATTATTTATTGTTGTATATAGTTTTAAATGTTTGCTCCAGTTGTGTTTTTTCTCAAAGCAGGAAGGACCCTCCGTCTCCTACCACCCGAAGCCTAACCCTATTCACGTAAATTTGGGGGGATAGACATACTTAGAGGTGTTTAAGATTTCATAAAATCCCATCACACCTTACCACATGGATGAAGCTTGAAGACATTACATGCAGTGAAATAAGCCAGTCACAAAAATGCAAATAGTGCATGATTCCACTATATAAGGTGTCTAACCTAGTCAAATGTATAAAGCAGAGTGGTGGTTACCTGAGTCTGGGGGGAGGGGAAGGCGTGTTCCATGGGTAGTTCCAGCTCTATAGGATAAATCTGTTTCACAACGTGAGCTTCAGCTTTGTAAGATGAAAAAGTCCTAGAAATCTGTTTCACCTTGTGAATATGTATGCAGTGCTTAAAAAATGCCCAAGAAAGTAAATGCTATGTTATGTGTTTCTTACCACAATTAAAATTTATTTCCATGTTTCAGGTCTGAATCTGTGCAGGATGAGGAAACAGGTTTACCTATCAGTTGGGGCAATGAGCTTCACAGAGCCTGTAAATCACTCTCAGTGTCACCAAGGAATAATGTCATGTCAACACGTAAGTTGCCGTGGTGTCATATACCATTTTCCCTGTAGATTAGCATTTTGCATAGACAAGGAACAACGATCTGATGCCAAGTGCACTAGCCCAGCTGGACCCACAAGGCCCGGAGACACTGCCCACGCCCACAGCCTTCCTCCTGGCTTAGTCCGGCCAAATGCCTCCTCGGGATCGATTGCTGGGCGGAGGTCCTCCCTCGTCACAGAGCTTTTTGTTCTCAAGTGCACGCTCGGCTGCCTCAGCCCTGCCTTACCCATCCCACCTCCAAACCACTTTCACGTGTGTGTGTGTGTGTATAGTCCTATGTTTTCTGGAATATTTTTAGGATTGAACATGTCCTTTGAACTATGACAATACTGGATTACATGGATTATTTATTGCTGTATATAGTTCAAATGTTTGCCCCAGCTACATTTTTTCTCAAAGTCTTATTATTTTTATTAGATTTTTGTATAACATGTTTTTGGCAAGGTGGTATCTCCCTCCCCCCCACCCCCCCAGTTATACTTGGCATACAGCATTATGCTAGTTTCAGCTATACAACACAGTGATTAGACATTTATATAACGTATGAAGTGACCCACCCAGTAAATCTATACCCACCTGACACCATACAAAGTTATTACAATATTATTATGTGCCCTGAGCTGTACCTTACATTCCCCGTGACTATTTTTATAACTGCCACTTGTACTTATCAATCCCTTCACCTTTCACCAGCCCTGAAACTCCCTCCCATCTAACAACTGCCAATGTGTTCTTTGTATCCATGAGTTTGTTTCTCTTTTGTGTGTTCACTTATTATTTTTTTTTTTTTAGGTTCCACAGGTAAGAGAAATCATATATTATTTGACTTGCTCTGTCTGACTTTTTTCATTCAGCATAATATCTTTTAGGTCCATTCATTCTGTCACAGATGGCAAGATTTCATTCTTTTTATGGCCCAGCAATATGCCATTGTATGTATGTATGGACCACATCTTTACCCAGTCATCTATTGATGGACACTTAGGTTGCTTCCATCTCTTGGTTATTGTAAATAGTGCTGCAATGAACAGAGGAGTACATACACCTTTTTGAATTAGTGGGAGAGGCAGGGAGAGAGAGGCTCTGGCCCTGGTTCTGAGAAGGGAAACTCAGCTGAGGCTGCAGACACTACGCATGATCACTGTGTCAGGTCACATCATGATGCCTGAGACACCTGGCAAGACTGGCACTAGCATAGGCACTTTGTGGGCTCAAGGCAGCATAACCATAAGGGCAGAGCTGGCATAGCCTGGGCTAATGATTACCTCCCAAACTCCAAAACCACAGCCTCTACAAACAGAGAGCAGCACACCAACACCGGGGAACAGGAGTCTGAACACGAATCAGGATCTTCATGAACAGCCAGTGGGAAAGCCCCAGAGGAACTGGTCCCTCCCGGAGCAGCCCCAGAACTGAGGACCAGCCCCCACCCCCACCTGCTCCCCAGCAGGACCTCAATGCCCAGCCAGAGGGGGCAGGCCAGAGGGGCTGCGCATACCAGACGAGCTTGTCTCTAGACTCTGGGTCTGGAGGTTAGAAACAGCAATCTTTCGAGGAAAAGGTCTAGCTCCTCACTACAGAGTGACACGGCGAGCATCTGGTTTTACACACTCCGGGACAGAGCGCCACAGAGACCCGGGGAAGCGGGTGACTGACGCGGGACTGGAAGGAGAGGCGGGTGTCCAGGCTACCTGTTGGGCGGCCGCCTTTTCTCTCCAGAAGCTTCATTTAGAAAGAGTGACATTTCATTCTGTTTCCATGTTGGCCGAGTTCCATTGCAGGCTTCAAACGTAATCTTCTAGACGGCGAGCAGAGCACAAGGCTCAGCATTGTCTTCTGACCGGGCCCTGGCCCGTCACAGTGGGTGCCCTGGCCTCTGTCTTAGTGGGTGCCCTGGCCTCCGTCTCAGCGGGTGCCCTGGCCTCCGTCTCAGTGGGTGCCCTGGCCTCCGTCTCAGTGGGTGCCCTGGCCTCCGTCACAGTGGGTGCAGTCATCAACCCCTGGCAACTAAATGCTCCCAATGCCAGCAGACAGGCCGAAAGCAACAGCAATTCTTTTTCTTCTTGTGTTTTAACTCTTCAGAGACACACAGCCAGCTCCGAGGAAGCCCCGAGGGGCCATTTCTTCTAACCAGGAACTCCTAGCCCCTCGCTTTTTCTTCCAAATTATAAAGCCTCGGAGGAGGAGAATCTCACCTTTCTCGGAGAGGATCACCTTGCGAGGATGTGACAGAGAGGAAGGCTCCTCTCCTCTCTGCAGACAGCTCCCAAGGACACGGAAGGGTCTGGATGGCATGCACCGGGGCACGCAGCGCATGGGCGACCGTCAGAGATACAGGATCTCCCAGGCCCCTCGAGTCAGGGTGTGGGAATGAGGGCTTCAGTTTTTAAGTTTTCCAGGGTCCTGGCCAGATAGCTCAGTTAGAGCACTGTCCTGATACACCAGAGGTGTGTGTTCGATTCCCGGTCAGGGTACACACAGAATTAACCAGTGAATGCCTAAATAAGTGGAATACAAATCAATGTTTCTCACTCCCCTTGCCTTCCTTTCTCTCTATAAAAGTCAATAAAGTTAACAACAAAAACCATCTTCCAGGCTGAACTTGCTGGCTGCCCACAATTAAGAATACAGAGACAGCCGAAGCTGGTTTGGCTCAGTGGTAGAGCATCGGTCTGCGGACTGAAAGGTCCCAGGTTCGATTCCGGTCAGGGGCATGTACATTGGTTGCGGGCACATCCCCGGTAGGGGGTGTGCAAGAGGCAGCTGGTCGATGTTTCTCTCTCATCGACATTTCTAGCCCTTCCTCTCTGTAAAAAACCAATAAAAAATATATATATATTAAAAAAAAAAGAAAAAAAGAGAGACAACTGGTAGTTACAAATGTCAATGCCTGATGATTTGCCAGGGAAAACCAGGGTGTTTTGGTCTGTGTTTTTTTTTTTTTTAATCAAAGTATCTTGCTTTTTGTTTCATATCCCACATATAAGTGAGGCCAGGCTACAGTTGTCTTTCTCTGTTTGACTTATTTCACTTCACAAAATGCCCTCAAGGTTCATCCACACCATTGCAAATGGCAGGGTTTCCTTCCTTCAGATGGCGGAGTAGTATTCCCTTGTATGCATACATACAACATCTTCCTCCAATCAAACCACAGTATGGTGGTTCCCAGAGGGGAGGGGGAGGGCCATGTTGAAGAGGAAAGTGCAATTTCACCTCTCAACCATGCTTTCAAAGTGTCCGAGCTTTCCTGCAGAGACCACTGTTAACAGCCTTTAAAAGAAAAAAAACTAAAACCTAACAAAACAAAACCACAAGTGGCACACGGAGAGCCACCCCATCTTTAAATAGAAAAGAGAAAAGCCACAACCTACATAGCCGCACACCTCAGTGTGACTGCAGCAGGCCCAGCGCAACCAGAGCACGCTCAGCCAACGGGGGCAGCAGGGCCCACACACTGCGAGCTGCTGAAGGCCATCCACTGAGCGAACAGTGCCCCGCTCAGGGCTCGGAGACCCCCTTCTGCTAACGCACGCCCACAATCGCTCAGATCTGTCCCATCGCTTTGGACTCACTCCACGAGAGCCCGGGGGCAGGGCTGTCTTTGGGGGAGTTCTCATTGACCACCACCTCCCAGCCACTGAGAAAACCGTGGCCGCACCAGCCGGCTTCCTCCACCGTTTCCTCTGTTCGGTGTTTCTGTTCTTTGTTCAGTGATGCATGATTTCATATCAAATGTAGGAGCTGCTCCGAGTGTGGCATTTCAGGCCTTGCTCTCTGCACCTACCGCATTTCAGTCTCACATTCTGCTATTCCCACCCGAATCCTCAGCCATTTCCAACTCTTGCCTGCCTCTCACTTGGAAGGCCCTGGGAGGCATCTGCCTGTGGCTCCCTCTGTGTGGGACGAAGCAGGACAAGCTGTGAGGACCACTGTGGCATTTCAACAGGGTCAACAATGCTAAAAAGCTACATTAAAAAAAACCTCAATAGAATAAAAGACACTCCTCTTTCCACCATGGTTTCAGGGTGGCTTTACTTTTTACGTTAATGATTTCTGAACTGAAACTTTCACAAATGTGTGAATTATTTAAAAAAATATATATATTTTATTGATTTTTTTTTTACAGAGAGGAAGGGAGAGGGATAGAGAGGTAGAAACATCGATGAGAGAGAAACATCGATGAGCTGCCTCCTACACATCCCCTACTGGGGATGTGCCCGCAACCAAGGTCCATGCCCTTGACCTGAATCAAACCTGGGACCTTTCAGTCCGCAGGCTGACGCTCTATCCCAGCGTTTTTCAACCGCTGTTCCGCGGCACACTAGTGTGCCGAGAGATGTTGCCTGGTGTGCCGTAGGTGCAGACAAGACAAGAATTTTATAATTTTTCACTATTTTGTTTACTTAATATTTCATAATAAAGTAATTATAAAATACTTTCTTTGTGTTTATTTGATTCCTATTCAAGAGAATTACTTTATATATAGTCAATATAGGCACAGAGTTAAATTTTTTAACATTTTCTAATGGTGGTGTGCCTCGTGATTTTTTTCATGAAACAAGTGTGCCTTTGCCCAAAAAAGGTTGAAAAACACTGCTCTATCCACTGAGCCAAACCAGTTCAGGCAATGTGTGAATTACTTAACTGCCCTCCTATGCCTCCCTTTCCCCACAAATTACAGGGGACTTTTCACTGTGGCCATTTCTGCATGATCTGAATTTTGGGTGTTATTTTCATAATTGCAAAAAAGCAATCTTGAGAACTGGGTTGATGTGGTGGTCACGGTGGGCTGCCTCGGGGTTTCCACACCTTCTCTGGGGAACTGCAGTTTCACCCTTTCTCTACGCAGGCAGTGGGCTTGGGAGGCTGGCCCTGCCTATCAGGTACCTCCATCATCCTTGTCAGTGATTGGTCAGGAACCCTCACTGGAGCCAATCAGGGCACGGTACTGGCAGCTATCAGAGTCTGTTACCGGCCCAGCAGTACATGTTGGTCCCATAAGCCTCAATGGAGGACTCATATTCCATGTTTCAGGGGGAATTTTCCTGTTTCTGTCTATTGGTAGACATGGAGAGTTGAACAGGAAGTAACTGTCCTACTCCTCCAAGGAATTTTAAACTTTCCTGAAATTTCCTGTTGTTTAATTGTGGATTTTCTGTACAACGTGGAATTCAAAGATAAGAAAAAACAAACTGTGGTTTAAGAAATATCTCCCTCTCCCTCTGGAGTTTAATATAGATAAGTACATATTAATTAGTGTAACACATTAGCACACAATTCCTATCTCTCAAGGGCTTGTTTGTTGGATGGTGAGGAAGACAAATAGTCAAAATACCACAGTCAGTTGGTTAACCCATCCTCCCATACACTAAAAGGTTGTGGGTTTGATGCCCAGTGAGGGTACATACCTAGGCTGCGGTTTGACCCCAGTCAATGCACATGGGGCAACCAGTCAATGATTCTCTCTCACATTGATGTTTCTCTCATTCTCTCTCTCTGTCAAATCAATAATAAGAAAAAGAGCGTACATCCACACATTAGATTAGTGGGGTGTGCCTGCATGCAGAATGGCAGCGAAGGAGCTTTCCCAAGTGGCTGCTGCAGATGGCAGAGAGGCAGGCCCCCCTGCTTGATGGCTGTGACCATCTCTTGGGCACCTGGTGGCCACCATGGCCAGGCAGGTACTGCTGGGCCAGAAGGTGGTGGTTGTGCACTGTGAGGGCATCAACCTTTCTGGCAATTTCTACAGTTGAAGTACCTGGCCCTGCCACTTCGAGCCCCCAGCCACATCTTCCATCAGACTGTGTGGAGCCTGCTACCCTGCAAGACCCAGCAGGCCAGGCCGCCCTGCGGGCCTCCAGGGGTTTGACGGGATCCCGCCACCTACAAGTAAAAGTGAGTGATGGTTCCCGCTGCCCTCAACGCTGAGCTTCTGAAGCCCACACAGAGGGCTGCTGCCTGGGGTGCCTGGCTCACGAGGCTGGCGGTCACAGCTGCGCTGGAGGAGAAGAGGGAGAGGGCCAGGCCAGCAGCCAGGAGAAAAAGCAGCTCCTGAGGCTTCAGGAATGGGCCCAAAAGAATGTGAAGGGGAACTGACAGACACACAAAGGTCCTGGAGACCATGGACTCCTGGTCTGAGCCCCATTAAGAAGAAAGAAAAGTGGGGCAAGGAGACATCAACCTGGGGCAATGGGTGAGACATGGAGTTCCAAAGGGCAACCTTAGGTCATGATTCCTTTTCCTGATTTCCCAGAAACTACATATTTTTATAAACACCATCTCTGTTCTCAAATAACTTATACTTTAGATGGGACAACAAAGGCTTACATAAATTATTGTAATGCCAGGTGGAGAGTGGCACGTTTCAGAGGAGCTTCAGGCACCGCTGAAGTCCAGGGGGAGGTCACTGAGCTGGGGACTAGTGGAGCCAGGCCAGGGAAAGCCCCAAGTCCTGAAACCGGCCCAGCGCTGCAGCCAGAGAACCACAGGGTCTCAGGGCGAGAAAGAACCTAAAGGCCCCTGGACTACCCGCTGCCTGAGAGCTGAGTCCTACCCACCGGACCTCCACCACAGCAATCCTGGCTTTGCTTAGAGACCTCCGGAGACTATTCCACCTTTGGCCGCCTGGGACCGCCAGACCCTTTTCAGCTTGGCCGCCATCGCCTGGTCTGCATCTCTGACACTGAGGCCACCCAGGCGGGGCGGCCCTCCATGGCCCAGCTCTCTGGCTGCTGACAGTAGCTGCTATGTGGCCTATACCAGGTCTTCTCTCCTTCAGGTCCCCATTCCTTCCGAGGCTCCTCAGGGACATGGTCTCGAGTCTCCTCTCTGGTCATTCGCAGACGTTACTAAGATCCCTGGGGGGAGCCTTAGAGAGTGACGGCCATAATGTCCAGAGCACTCATTTGCACCCCGCAGGGACAAGCAGACCCCTCCGGCCTATCACTGCAGCTCACGGGAAACGGCTGTAGGCAGCCACGGCACATGTTGGTGCAGACGGTGCCGGCCTGGCACTAAAACCACCAAGCTGATTTTCACCCCACGTGTCCCTACCCCACAGGCATCTTCCCCATCTTGTACGTATGAAGTGGTGTGCTAGAGCCTGACACGAGAGAGCTCACCTTTCTCAACTAATCCCTACCAAGAGCAATTACCTTTGCAGCTGGTCAACAGTGTGCAAAAGGACGCACCGAGTGTGGAGAGTGAGCTCACAGAAAGGGAAGTGCTCACAGATACGAGCATTTAGGCCTTTCCCAGGAGATAGACGGAGACCGGACGTCTAAAAACGCAACCCGAGAGAGCTGCGGAGGGCCCTGGAGCGGAAAGGGATTGAGGATGTCCGAAAGCCAGCCAGATCGGGAGGAGAGGGAAGGCCCGAGCGGTGGCTACTGGACACATCCTGCTCCAGCCAAGCACACGTGCTCATGCTGATGAAATGCTGAGTCGGTGAACGTCCAAGGGCGGAAGCAGCGCGGACAGGAAGGCTCCGTGATCAGCAAGACCCCTGAGACACAGTGTCTGCATAGGCCAAGCTGTGTGTCTAACCACACTCTCTCCATTTACTTCGGTGTCTGCACCACTAAGAGTGTGAGGCACTCATGATAGAGAGATTAAATCGGAACCATGGCAAGAAAAACCAGGATTAGAAGAGGAACGTGTAGATATTATCTAACTCACCTTGAAGGACCACCCTACCACACCGATGCAGTTCTCTACATTGCACAGCTAAGAACCCTGGGTCTCAAAACAATGCAGTGTCTTGCCCAAGGTCACCTTGCTCCTAAGTGACATTTACATTTGATTCTACGTCAGGAACTTCAGCTCTCTCCCTCTGGAGTCCACCTCTTCTGGTTTCTTCTCCTGGACTCCCGACCCAGGCAGAGCGCTCGGTCGTCGGGAGCTCAGACTCTGAAACGATACTGCTGGGGCCAAGCCCCGACTCCACCCCTTACTCGCCATGGTAACCGTGCACAGGTGCCGGTCTCCTGTCCCCCTCGGCCTCAGCTGGGGGATGGGATTAATAACAGTGCCTCCGTCCCAGGGCTGTTCCGAGGGCTAAATGAGTTTACATGACTAACGCACTTTTACAGGTTACACAGTGCACACTAAACTAGATGAGTTAACTAAATTAGATGTGAACTTGGGCAAGCAGCTTAACCTCCCAGGCCTCATCTGTAAAATGGGGAGAATACAGAGAAATCTCCCAGGCACAGCAACTAACTACCACATGAAAAGCACCTAAGTATGCTTGGTTACCATCACGCTACCTTACTTAAAATCATCTCTTCTTTCATCCATTACTGGATAATTTAAGCACTCATATAATCAGGGAAATGGGCATTTAATAGGTCAACTGACTTAGAAAAATAAATTTAAGAAAAAATCTTGAAATACAGTGTGAAATCATTAGAAAGAAGATGAAATACAGGAATGACAGAAGATCCTAAAATAAATCCTTCCCATTCTGTTTTAAGAATGTGACACTGACAGCACTGGGGCATGCTAACCACATGACAGGTGTCCTCGAGTTCAGTGAGTGGATTCCCCCTGACCCCGTGACCTCGGTCACGGAAGAATGCTGTGGGCTAGGGCGCAGAGTCTGCTGTGTTTTAGGCTGGGTTGTCCCTGATTCTGGTTTTAGAGTGCTAAGACTAAGTGCTAAGTGTTTTCTCCCTCTGTTTATAATTTTAATGAACATTTACTTATAATACGTTAGAGATGATACTACTGTTTAAATGTGTGTTTGGAAATGTTTTCATTTAAACCACACCAGTGGGATATCTAACCTTGACGCGGTCAGGATCCACATAATGCACTTTTTTCATATCACATTCTTCATTAATATAATTTATCTTGAGGATATAAAGGATCCACACTCCAAACACAAGAAGTATACACCTAGAAAAGAAAAACCAATTAATTGTATGATGCAGTCACGTGACAAGTAAGAGTGATCATGGGAAATAAGTGAAAACCTAACCCAAATTCAGTTTGACTGCTGTGCAGCGCCAAAGTATTGTCTTTACAGTTGACCTCAGGGTGACCCCTTAAGACACTACCTATTCCCTGAGAAGATAAATTAGTCATTTATCTGGACTTTGTTAAACTTTGCCAGGTTACTGAACATAACAAAACAAAATAAAATCAAGTAATAGATTTTTTTATTATTATTTTTTATTGACAGTGAGGTTCTAAGTAGGTCTCTCTCTCTCTATCTCTCTTTTAAATATTTTTTATTGATTTCAGAGAGGAAGGAAGTGAGAGATAGAAACATCAATGATGAGAGAGAACCATTGATCAGTGCCTTCTACATGCCCCCTACTGGGGATCAAGCCTGCAACTGGGGTATGTGCCCTGACAGGAAATCGTACCAGGACCTCTAGGCTTGATGGTTTTGTGTTGTTTTTAAAAGAAGGGAAAAAGGGTGTTAAAAGCAGGCCCAGACCCCTCAGTACTGTACCTCCTGGTCATGAGCCTGTCTTGCCCACACTGGGAGGAGCGTGGGGTGCAGGGCTAGTCTATTCTATTTACTGTCACATGGCCTGCACCCAACACAGGGCCATGCATGTGCAGGCCTCAATAAATATTGGTTAAGTGACTAAAAGGAGAAGGAAAGTGGTATAGTAAGTATTTATGAATGTACATTTCCTTTCCTCACCTTTTAAAATCTGTTCCTTCTATTATAAATTAATGAAGTGAGATGTGAAACCAGATTTCAGAGCTCTGTTTCTACAGTTAGACATGAAAAAGGGGGTAATTTTCAACTTGGTTCAGCTGCTACCATACATATAAAACCAACAAGTTCCTCCTTTCACAATCACAACACTTATTAGGATGTAAAGGTGACCTGGCTGAGACACCTGTCATCCTTTTCAGCATTCAATATTTAATGCTATTCAAATGCCTTTAGGGGTTTTTAATTAATCATATTTTAGATTAACTTAAATAGCTAAGGGAAAAAGCCCTCTTTTGTTATATAACGGCAGGAAGAGCTGTGCACGGTCAGAGCTGCCCTCGTGGGCATCCGAGCTCAGGTGCAGAGCCTGAGGGCCCCTGGCGGGGCACTGCCCTCTTACCAAGTGCAGTCTGATGCACGAGAATCCAGGGCACCCGCACGGACGCGCTAATGAATGTGCCTTTAAGTGATCCTCTGACCAAGTGTGATCACGAGTAAAAGTCATCGTTAGGGCTCTTATTGAACGGTATTTCCAGTTCCACACAGCTGACCCAAATTGGGGGATCTTTTGGCCCGAGGGCTCATACTTACTTGAAAATGTCTTTTAACAACATGTTGGGTCTTCGCATCTTGTTCTGAGCTCGGGTGTACCATTGCAGGGAGGGTCTTGGGTAATCGCTTCTCAGTTTCGCACAGTGGTACTCGCTTGGCATCGCTGTGAAGAGGGGGGAAGAGAGCAGGAGGAGGGAGAAGAGGGACCGTTGAGGTGAATGATACTTTTAAAGAGCCTTCATGGGGCACATCCATACCAAGGACTGCTACTCAGTCATAAAAGGAGTGATCTACTGATACATGCAACAACCTGGATGAATCTGGAAAGAATTATGCTGAGCCAAAGACTAAGAGGTCACATATTGTACGATTACGTTTATACAACGTTCTTGAAATGACAAAATTATAGAAATGGAGAACAGATTAGTGGTTGTCAGGAGTCATATAAGGAATGGTGGGTACGGAAAAAGGCAACATGAAGGAACCTTGTGGGGGTGAAAATGTTCTGTAACTTTGCCTGTATCCCAGTTGTGATATGTACTACGGTTTTGCAAGATGCTACCAGTGGGGAAAACTGAGTAAAGATTACACAGGATCTAAAAAAAAAAAAAAGAGCCGGGACCAGTTTGGCTCAGTGGATAGAGCGTCGGCCTGCGGACTGAAAGGTCCTGGGTTCGATTCCGGTCAAGGGCATGTACCTTGGTTGCGGGCACATCCCCAGTTGGGGGTGTGCAAGAGGCAGCTGGTCGGTGTTTCTCTCTCATCGACGTTTCTAACTCTCTGTCCCTCTCAATTCCTCTCTGTGTAAAATCAATAAAATATAAAATAAAAAAAATAAAAAAAAAAGCCCTATCTAATTTGGCTAAGTGAATAGAGCATCGGACTCCAGACCAAAGGGTCCCAGGTTCAATTCCTGTCAAGGGCACATACCTTGGTTGTAGGCTCCTCCCCTGGTTGGGGTTCGTGCAGAAGGCAATCAATCAATGTGTTTATCTCACATCGATGTTTCCCTCTGTCTTTCCCTCTCTTCCACTCTCCCTAAAAATTAATGGAAAAAATGGTGAGGATTAACTAAAAAAAAAAAATTACACAGGATCTCACTGTATTATTTCTTACAATTGTATGTGCATCTACAATTATCCCAAAATAAAAAGTCTATTTTTTTAACAAGCCTTTACCTTTTAGAGATACGTGTGGAAATATCTATAATAATAAAAGCGTGATATGCTAATTAGACTGGAGAGCCAAACGACCTCTGGGTGACCTTCCAGGCGAAGCCGGGATTGCAAGGGTGGGGGGCAGCCACTGCGGCTGTGAGGGCCGAGCCCCTTGCACAGGTTTCGTGCATCAGGCCTCTAGTTTATAGATAAAAGAAGAGAAATGAGATTTGCTTCAAAAAAGTCAGGAAGGGGCTAAGTATGTGGTGGGGAAACAAATGACACAAGACTAGCTTTACACTGGTTATTGTTGAAGCTGGATGATGGGTACACAAGCTCATATAAATCTCAATAATCTCCTACTTTTTAAAATCCTCACCAGAGGATTACCCCCGGACCACCCCCATTGATCTTTAGAGAGGGAGTGGAAGGGAGGGAGAAGGGGGAGAGAGAAACATCGATATGAGAGACACACAGACTGTTTGCCTGCTGCAGGTACGTGCCCTTGACTAGGAATCGAACTGGAACCCTTCAGTCAGTGGGCCGACGCTCTAACTACTGAGAAACCGACTAGAGCTCTTACACTTAAAAAAAAAAAATTTTTTATTCTTCTTTTTAGAGGGGAAGGAGAAGGGGAGGGGGAGGGGGGGAGAGAGGGAGAGTTAGTGGAGCAACAAGAGAGAAGGGGCCTGGGTCCTTGGACAACCCCAACGGCAGAGCCACCATTCCACCTTGGATTGCCTGCCTCGGGCTGGGACATGATGCAGAAATAAACTTCTGTCTTGTTCAAGCGATTGTTAGTTAAATGCAGTGACAGATCTCAACTAATATAGGTACCTATCGCTATAATAAATTTATATATCGATTTAAGAAATGTCTTAGTCTCTCAACCAGGAGGAAGTTCTATCTCATTATTCACTTCATTTTCCCCATTAGGATTGTGCCATTTTGTTTGGGGGGGGGGGGAATTATCAAACTGACATTCAAGTATTTATTTATTTTTATTACTATAAACAATCTCTCCCTCAAGACCAATTCCGTGTAGCATAGAGTGTAAGAATTTTCACAGATATGTATGATTCTACTTGAGCAGTTTCAGAAAGATGGTGCCCAGGACTTCACTAGTAAACCCTTGCTGAAGAACCTACTGAATTCTTTCTTTAAAAAAAAAAAAAAAAAAAAAAATATATATATATATATATATATATATATATATATATATATATATATATATATTATTGATTTTTTACAGAGAGGAAGGGAGAGGGAGACATCAATGAGAGAGAAACATCAATCAGCAGCCTCCTGCACCTCTCCTTTCTCCCCCCTTGGATGTGCCCGCAACCAAGGTACATGCCCTTGACCGGAATCGAACCTGGGACCTTTGAGTCTGCAGGCCGACACTCTGTTATCCACCGAGTCACACGGGTTAGGGCCCGAACTCTTAAATGAGAAGTTAGAGCTGAGACCCTGGAAGGCGGTCAAACGCCGCTACGTGTGGTTACGGACATTCATGCTCAGCCAAGCGGAGCTCCAGAGAGCGAGGCTGACGGTGGTTCCAGAAAGAGCCCGGCCTCCCCTGCTGCCCATGGTGGTGCCCTTGGCTCTGTGCTCTGCCCCTCGGGCTGTAAGCCTGTGAACGTGTCCCAGACCCGCTGGCCAGCGGGCCGCCGTGAGGCCGTGCTGTGGCACGGACATCCCGGAGAAAGACTGGGAGACGAGAGGAAAGCAGCAGCCTTTCCACTCCAGGACCTGCTGGCGCTTCGGACAGGGCAGCCACAGTAGCGGGCGAGGGGGCTGAACATGTGACTCCAGCAGGGGTGGTTCGACTTGTGTCCAGTCGAAAACCTGGCACCCTCGGTTTCGACTGGACACAGGTCAGGGCATGTCCGGGAGTTCTGTGATAAATGTGCGCGTCCGCCCAGGGTGGCAGCAGCTTTTCCATCGGGGCTAACACTGCCGCCTCACTTTGGCATCTGTGTAATCAATGCCCTGCAGGAGAGCCCTCTCCGCCTCAGGTGTCTGTGTGGTTTCTGGTTTCCTGCTGGGCATGACTGGTACATCAGGTGATCCTCCTCTGCACTTTCAGGAAGTGACTCGAGCAAGGAAAGGAGGGGCTCCGGGGTGACAGGAGGGTCTGCAGTCCTGAACACGGTCCTCTTCTCACCATCACTGCCATAGGACACGCTAAAAAAAAGTTGTGGGTTTGGGGTTTCTTTTGCACGAGATCTGCAGCCTGACACTGGGCTCAGCCCCTCCACCACCAGCTGTGACGCGCTGAGCAAGTGCCTGACTCTGGCAGCTCAGTTTCCTATCTGTGCAATGGGTGTAGCATTACCCACCGCAGAGGGCGGACTGGGGAGCAGTGGTGGCGCATAACCGGCGCTACCTAGGTGCCGGCCGTGGCTATTGTTACCGTACAGGAGGGGAAGTTACAGGCAGCGCCCAGCTCTGTTTTTCACAACGCAGCTGGCAGGGCTTGAGGGCACTTGCCGTTCTGCAGTTACCCTCACTGCTGGCCACAGGCGTGGGTCCTCTCTCCAGTCCACTCCACTTCCTCTCCGGGATCTCTCTGGAGAGGCGGCCTCCTCTGCGAGCCGCTCATGCACCCGGCCTAGCTCAGGATCCTCTCTCCCCGCTCACCCCTTCCTAAATGCTTGGCTTCCTCCACCGGCCTCTTCTCCCCAGCGTCAACGCTGACGGCCTGCGCCCTGTCTTCCTTCACGCTGTCCGCGCACCACGCGTGGGAGGCCGGGACACGCTTCCTTCACGACCTACAATCTTCACCCCCCACACGCACGTCTTGTGACGACAGGGCCCCGGTTTCCATTCTCAGCACAATGTTCTCTTTGTCCCACACTATTCACTCAAGATTTAACCTTTTGCCTTTCACGCTCCTCCGCTCCAGGGAGTGCACCTCCAAATCCGTTTCTCTAGGCAGACCGCTCACCCCAGCTCAGACCTGCGTCTCTATCGCCCTGCCTACTACCTTCATCTCAGGCCAAGCAGCACCCGGCACCTCCCTCCACCACCGCTGCACCTCCCCCTCAGCCATCCACGTCGAACACCCGAACACCCGCAGGTTAACCCCAGACTTCCCCCTTTCATCCCCAGCCCCAGTCACTCCCAGGGCCTCTCAGTCATGCCTTCTTGGACGTCCCATGCCCACTGACATCCCCCTAGTGGAGGCCACGTCCCTGGCGCCCCACCTCAATGCTGTCCCCTCAAAGCCGTCTTTCTGAAATATAGTATCCGGTTGGTAGTTTCCAGCTCACCTCAGGTCCCAGGACGCCAGGTGACACACCTGCCTGTCACACTCTAGCCTCAAAGTTACCGCTGGAATCCTGGACGCGCCAGGGGATTGCCTCCGTGCCCGGGCACGTGGCCTGCAGCCCCCGGGGGAATCCCTTCAACCATCTGCCCGGTGAGCCACTTTTCATCCTTAAACACCTTCCTCTGTGGAGACCGTTTTTCTTATGCCACAGCTGTCCCGCCGGGCACTCGCGCGCTATCTGTGTACCACAGTGGACTGGAGCTTCTGTTCACATGTGGGGTCTCCTCTGTCGTTCCACCAGCTCCTGGAGGCTGAGCTGCCGGCCAGAACTTTGTTCGTCTTTGTATCTCCAATGTCTAGGACAGGGTGCAGCACCTGGCAGGCCCTAAGAAGCATCTCCCATTGAGTGGAATGTGTATTGCACGCCTGTTGCCCGTCATCGGATAGGATACACGCCCCCCCCAAGTCCCCAAAATGTATTTTCTCAATTATACTTAAGAGCAAGACTGAAATTAAATGTTAAGGGAAATTATAATAGCGAAGAATAAAGCATGTGCTCTACTGAAACATCTAAAATACCCTACAAGAGCCGAAACCGGTTTGGCTCAGTGGATAGAGCATCGGCCTGTGGACTGAAGGGTCCCAGGTTAGATTCCGGTCAAAGGCATGTACTTTGGTTGCGGGCACATCCCCAGTGGGGGGTGTGCGGGAGGCAGCTGATCGATGTTTCTC